ACACCTATTAAGTCCAAAGACAAATTACTTAACCTCCAAAAGCCTTTGGTGACTTATCTATAATACAGAGACAGTGCGACAGGTCCTGTTTGACTCACAGGGATATTTAAGAGGATCGGTGAGATACAAAGACTTGGTGATATAGCAGGCAGACTGCTGGACTGGGGAGTCAGGAGAGAGAGAATCTGAGATATTTTTGACTGTCCCTTTTTAAATGACTCCATTACTTCCTGCCATAGTATGTTTAGTACTGAGTAGCTAAAGTCCAAAGGGTTCTCCTATCCTCACTAATGATAACAGACCATACAGACCATTCTGTTCCCTTTCACATCTACTTGTTGTCCTTGTTGTTTCATCTGCAAAATGGTCTCAGGTTAAACTGACTTAAATCAGATACCATGCTCTCTGAATCCTTGGATTCCCTTGAGCAACTTTTCACTATTTTGTGAAGTGAGAGCGTTTACTATCTGTAATCCTCCTCCTCCACCTTTTGCAAATAAGCTTGTACATATATTGTACTTGATTAACTTGTTTGTGCATTAGCATAGAAACCAAGTACTTATTGGCTAAAAAATAGTTTATGGGCTCTTCTGGCCTCCTCATTGTGGCAACTGCAATGCATAATTTACTTTTTCCAAAAAGGGTGATAGTTACTGTCTTGATTTTCATCTGTTTCCTATTTTTTGGAGTCTACAGATTGTTAAAATAGGAAAGGCTAGAGTTACTGTAATCTCACATTTATGTTTCCCTCTAATTTTAAATTTACTTTAACCTTTGCTGTAACCACTATACATAACTAGACATAGACAGATGATACATAATGGAAAACTGCTAAATTTGGAGTCAAAAAACCTGGGCTCCAAATCAGAGCTTACTATCACTATAACCTTGGAAAAGTCTTCAGCTGGAAAAATGAGGGAATTTCCTTTCCAGCTCTAAAACTAACATCCTATGACCCTAATAATAAAAAGTAGAATCTGTCAATGACTGTAATACAAAAATGTTTGTGAGGCCAA